CAAGCACAAATTCGAACTTAAATGAAGAAAAACATGTATATGCTTGTATATGGTCATACAGGACTCGATACTTGACCATTTCCCATGAAATTTGTTACAAGATATTCCTTAAACATGTCACAACAACATAGAATAAACAAATTCATGAAAACAAGTTGAATCGAATACCCCCAATTTCAAAAATTAGGGTTCTTCTTTCGACTTTCCCCATTTTATCAACTAAATTCAAAGTTTGGCACAATAAAAAAAAAGAGCAAGATTTACTTTCCTTAGCTTCAAACGACAATGTAACTTCTTGCGAAAGAGATTGAAAATAGCGAATGAAAAAGAAGAGCACGAGTTGCATATCGCGCTTCAAACTGATTTTGTTCGTTATTCAAGTGCTGCGAGCAATTCTAAAAGTTGTGTGTTCCTGCTACGCAACTTCTAATGTTGAGCGTGACACCCCAGCGCAACTCTCAAAGTTGTGCGCTGTTAATGGTCTGTCAAATGACCGTTTCTCGGTTTTTGTTTCGTCTTCCAAACCAAACGTTTTAGCTCTTTGAATTCGCACCTCGATGGGCTTTTTCGCGGAGTTTTCAAAACTTGCAAAAATATTTTATTGCTTTGCATCTAGTAGTTTTTTTTACTTCTTTGATAACCTTTTGCATCATCTCGCATGTACACCGTTCTTTGTGCCTTCCCAAGCATACGTTTTGGACACTTTTCAAACAACGCGCAAAAAATGTCACGTGGTGGTGCTTTAAGTAAGAGCTCTCGTAGACAGTTTGGTATCTCTATGTACTTCCCTATTAAAAAATGCCACGTTTTAGTATTTTTGTCGTTACATAACAAAAACACAACATATATACTACGTAAAATTTTATAGCGTATTACTGCGTAAAATTGTATCACGTACGTGCTGCGTAAAATTGCACTAGCAACATGATCTGCCTCTCGTAAAAACCAAAAGAAACTTTTTAAGGCGTTATTTTTTGAGTCGATAAAGTGCGCCGACTAACGGGGCAATGCTACCCTCGTTAGGCAACCAAGCAAATACGGTTGTCTTGAAAACGATCTTGCTTCACCGGATAGTTAGGGTATCAGTCCACCCCTGTCTAAAGAGTAGCCAATGCTGAAGCTGCACCCATTTAGACATGCGCCCTCAGTTCTAAGACACGTATTTTCATCTTGTGGATAAAAACTACTAAGCAAGTTGCTGATTTTCATCTCTCTCACTGGATTTGGATACATGCCTCCAGTCCTAAGACGTGTATTTCCATCTTGTGGACATTAAATTTTTGTTTTGGTAGCGATTACCACTCTTTTTTATTCAAGTGTTAGGCTATGAATGCCGAATCACCACTCCGTTTTTATCATCTTATTTTTTTTCAAAATCGTGGACTAAAGTTTCAATGATAAATCAAGAGACTTTAGACCACCGATGCCATATTGAGAAGGTGTCATCCTCTTTTCATCTATTTTAAACCCGATACCTTTTCGTAAAAATGACATCACCCAAGACAACCTTTACTTGAAAAAGCGTTATACACTTGCAAAGGGTCAACCTAGACTCTTTGGCGCACTAAGGTTTAGTTTATTTGATCTTAGTAGCTACTTGTCTTGAACATTTAGCGAAATGAGGATAGTTTCAACATTCTCAACACTACTGAAAGATTCTTTATCTTTAAGGAACTTAGCAGAATGAGTCTCGGATTTATTTCCTTGACTACTTTGATCTTCGTCTATTCTAGACTCGATCAAAGTGGGGGATAACTGTACACACCTACTTTTGGCATCCTGTCCCGACAGGAAGTGCGATGATGTTACAAAAACCCGTTCTTCATAATAGATCAAAGTTGAAGTGTTTATGGACTCTGAAATCCATTATAAAGTAAGTTAAAACCCATATTTGAGACCAAATTATCTTAGAAACTAGTCCGATTACTAATTAGGCCTAAAATGTGCTCATACATGTTTAATCTTGATTAATAACGGACCTAAATGCGTTAAATGCAATAATTATTGGATCAAATGGATCTTACATTGTTGAAAACTGAGCCAATCAGAACAATTAACCACCAAATATCTATTCATGACCTATACAACTGGATAGCCCTTTCAAATAGCTTTACAACGGTACATTATGAGCTCAATTCCGAGTTAAAACAAAGAAGATATTAGAAAAATAATAAACCGAGCCCTAAAACAAACACCCTTGCACTAAAACAACCATATCTTTTAATCCACAATAGCATTTAACCTAATCCCAATGGCATTGGAAAGTAGACATTTATAGATTTCCAATGATATCTTATTTGACTTAATCCAACTTCCTAATCAAATGTAATGGAAGTTTAAAAATGCGTTTTTGTATATGGCGAACCGCACAGCGCGCAATTTCCATTGCATATATTATTTGTTAATGAAAATGTGAAGAAAGGAAGAGCTAGTTGAGGCCTCACTAGGGCTAAGATTGTGATTCTCAAAGAGAACGTTTTTCTAGTACCCTCGCTCCTGAACTCATTTCTGGTTTAGTAGACCAATATGGGCATGGATAAACTTATGATTCATGCTACATAACCAATTAACTTTACTTGGGAGAAAGGGGTGAACGAGTTTTATGAGTTTTCTTAAAACTCATTGGCGACTCTATATTGGTTTCTTATAAAAAAAGTAATGATAGACTCAATTATAACTCAAGGTCTCCCAAACAGTTAGGAATTCAAATCCTAATACACCCTAAAAAATTTAAAATCCTAGGCATATAAAGGGCCAAGGGCATTGTTACACACAAAAAATCAGATTTTTGGCTTTTAATTGACTTTCTTGACTCTGACTAAGTGGAGAAGTCCTAGAGCCAGTGAAGGATCTTTGGGTTAGTTTGATTAAAACATAACAGCCATTGGGCTGATACCACACTAAGGACCAATTACATTTAGACCGGATTAGAAGGCTAATGGATGATTTTAATTTTCAAAGTAGAGTTGGAGCCAAGAAGCATAACCGCACAACAGTTATAGCAATCAGCCATAACCGCTCCATTTTGCCTATAAATAGAAGTGCAGAGATCAAAAGAATATATTAGAAAATAACTCAACAACAAGCTTTTCATTTCTTTTAAGCTTTCTTCTTAGCTTTCATTGTTTCCATTATTGGCTTAGTAGCCAAGCGATAGTGTAGTTTATCACATAGCATGTATTGAAGATCGTTCGTCTTTTCTAATTGTATGACCATGGAGGTAACCTCTCCTTTAACTTGTACAATTGTAGACTTGACTCTATACTTTCATTAATGGAATGTATTTGTATCTTTTGTCATATGCTTATCTACTTATTTCATTAAGCAATCTAACTTGTTTTACTTCTTTTGGAAAAGCTTCCTTATTTGTTTGTTTTGCGTTAGCAAGGTTATCAATCTTTGAAACCGATAACTCGAGGGGAAGCCCCCTAATACTCTATAATAAGATAGAGTATTTAACTTGTTGGTAAAGAGCAATATTTACCTCAACAAGTTTTTTGGCGACCATAGTGGGAGAATACAAGACTTAATCTATTTAACTCTTGTTAATTGGGAAGTTTTTCCCATGGCTCCTAAGCTTTCAGCATGTAAAGGAAATACTCAGAAAGATCAATGTTAATTCACCTTAACACAATCCTGAAACTATTTTAGAGGATCAAACAAATCTAGAGAATCAACTGCCAACAGAACACATGGCACACTCTTTCGAACCATTCGAGCCTCACACACAAAGGCAAGACGAATCAGTTTTAGAAGGAATGGAAAGCCAAACCCTACCAGACACTTACTCAACACAATTTACACGAAATATGTGGAAATCGTGAAGAGTATGATGAAGGATCTAAAAGGAAATAATAGAGAGCAGTTTGATAACTACTATTGTGTCATGGTGGAAGAAACTGCCAGAGTGGTAACTGTCGAGTTGAGGAACTTCGACTCCATTACCTAACAAGCGGTTACTAGACAGGTAGATAAGATTATTCTAGATATTAATGATACTCTGAACGCTACTAACATGGCATTATCAAAAAGTGTAGCGATCGAAGTGGTTACAAGGCTTGAACCTTTAGTGGAGAAACATAACCAACTTAATGAAAAGTTGATGAATGTTTTAACCGCTTTAGGTAGTGGGATTACTGAAGCAAATCAAAGGGATAACGTCCCTCTAGGATACCCTAGAGTAGAAAATATAACAAGACCTCATGAAAATCCGCCCCCTCTGCTAGTTCCAAGAAGCATCCCTCCTATTGGTTCTGATGAGGGGTATAGGAGTCAAGGAAGAATTAATGATTCAAAGCCAGGTTATGAGTCAGGCTATAACCATAATGGTCAGGGTCCATCTTCTTCCTCTTTGCCTCCACCGGTTACCACAAACCCATTAACCTCTTCAATGGGTAACATACCTTCTTTAGGAGAAGATATTGGTGTCAGTTATGCCAACTATGGTATTGGAAATCTGTCAAATCCAGCATGCCATACACAAGCTGTTTGTATCTGCACAAAGGATTTCCTCTCAACCTATTGGCGTGAATGGTCAATAATCATCCACACAACCTGGGAATTACAACCATTATCCACATGGATACTCAAACCCTGTCCACCCTACACAAGGTTCCTCATGGAATCAGGGTCAGGCCATTTGTCCATATGGAGATAGGTATCCAGCAATGTCTCAACCCAATCCTAATACTTTAGGAGGGACATGCATTGCATATAGGGGTTTCCACAATCCTCAAGGGAATCAATATAATCCTTTTCATATGCAAGACACACTAGTCCAACAACCTAATGGTCCAATGGAAGGTCAACCTTCACTATTGGGACAGGAACCCCTACTTAGACAAGTGGAGGAGATGATCCAAAGGGCTATGGGTCTGAATGGTGGATATGCTAGAAGGGGAACCTACAGCCCATACCCTTAATGGATTGACAGGATGTATCTTTTTCCAAGGGGGTTCAAAGTTCTTGAATTATCACCTCTCTTCTTTGGCACCAGTACAATGTCTGCTGAGATACACTTAGTTGAATTCAACTGCCAGTGTAGAGAGGCGGCAGATAATGAATTCCTTAAGCTTAGAATGTTTTCCAGTTCTCTTACTAGTACTTCCTTTTCTTGGTTTACTCACTTACCACCAAATTCAATTCAAAAGTGGAAAGATATGCAAACTAAATATCTTCTCCATTTCACTAGAATTCAAGCAGGGGTCAATATAGGTGATTTAGCCAAGATAGTGCAAGAAAAAAGAAAGGCTACAGGGGATTACATTCAGAGATTTAAGAACACTAAGATTAGATGTCACTTAAACATACTTGAGTCAGAATTCGTGTTTATCGTTCCAAAGGTTTTGTCTTTTCCTTTCAGGAAAAAGTTTGGAGGACAATATTTCCCTGATTTTGTTGCTTTATCTAGCGCTGTAATGGCTTATGAAAGATGTTTAGAAGAAGAGTCTAGATCTAAACATAAATATTATGCTAGTATGGCTGAAGAGTATAATAGGGAAGATGATATGTATGAGGCAGCGATAGCTGAGTTTGTACAGGGTCTTTCATTTAAGTGTCCTCCTTTAAATAACAAAAATTTCACTTATAAGAAAGATTTGAGATCTGATCGAAAGAGAGAATACACCTTCGATATTAGGAGATTTGATGAAATCTTTTATTGGCTTCTAAGTCATAAAAAGATTAAGTTATCAGGGAGGCATAAAACAAGAAGTCCTAATGAGGTTAAAGGAAATAACTACTATAAATGGCATGACGTTGTTACTCATAAAACTAGCGATTGCATAATATTAAGGAATAAGATTCAGGATGAGATTGATAAAAAACACATAATATTCCCTAATGAAAAAGTTAGTTCTTGTGAAGTAGAGTCAGAGTCTGCCTCAAAGTCTGAAGTTTATGAAATGAATTGTTTTATGGTAAGTGCTGACGTGGATATTGTGCAGGATGCAATACAAAGACTGAAATGGAGACGATTACTATGAAGATATGATGATATGGAGAAGGCACTTTAATTCTGCTCATGCTACCAATGAGTGTTTAATCTTCAAAGGGTTTCTCAATAAAAAGATTAAAACGAATGTAGTGATTGTTACAGAGCAGGAATATCGGGCAACGAAACTTGTTGAATTCAATCCTAAAGGGAAGAAGGATAAAGCTAAGCCCGTTGGGAATGGTTAAAAGACTAATAAGTCACCTGACAAGATAAGAAATCACAAACAAAATGCACAGTCTTACAAAGAGGTAATTCAATTATTTCCCTTGCAAACCAAAGCAGTAGAGGGACTTAAGAATTTGTGACATAATCTTTGTCATTCTTATGCTGATTTGTTGCATTTTGAATTGGTTAGGACTAAGACCATTCCAAATGATCCCAATTGGACACACATACACCAAAGAACTCACCATAAGAAGAAGACAAAAATCAACAATCTGACTCCTTCAATAAAAAAACAGGTTGAGTTTCCATAAGGTGAATGAAGGAAAGGAAACTCTTTACCTACGGCTAAAAGGGACAACTATGTGAGCATGAAAAAGAGAACAGAAGGAGTGTTGAAAGATAGGGTGACAAAGAATGATAATCTGAAGCTCCAGGAATAAAGGAAATCCATAAAAAAAAGGGCAAAAAATCAGTCAGAATAAGTTTAAGCAACCAGATTCAAGTGATGACAGATCTACTAGATGAAGATGCTTTAAAGAGAGGTGTCCTAAAAAAAATTCATCACAAATTGTCCAACCTAGAGTTTACACAGTGATTGGACAATCAATGGATGGTGAAAAACCTATCGAACTGCCTAGCAATGATATCCAGAATCATCCCATGGTGAAGGAGCTGATGGAAACCATTCCGAAAAAGGACCTAACTCTACAATATCATAAGGAAGAAAGCTTATGTGAGGATCTGATGACCACATATCAACCAGCATCTGAGTGAGTAGACTATGACCTAAAAGGCCTTAATCTGGAAGTTTCAAGACCAGATCTGGAATTTTTGTCAAAGTATTCAGAGGAGGATTGCGAGGCAAATTGCAATATCGTGACTTTCCAGTCGAGTTTAGAGCTCAAGTGGTGAATCCTGGTACCAGTTCATGGGCAAATGAAGTGGATCAGGTAGAAGTTGCATGTAAGTATAAACTTTATACTATATCTATTGAATTGAATAAAGCATCATCTAGTTCACCTAGTAGTGAAACAGTAACACATGATCAAGAAAAGTTAGTCATTCGACATTTGTTAAGGAACTACAATGTCAATAATGCACATAAAAAACCTCTTTTTATGACTGTGAATTTTGAAGAGTTTGAGCTAGGGAAAGTATTAGTCGATACAGGAGCAACGATAAATCTGATGCCTTAGTTTGTTTTTCCTAAGATTGGTAATAGAAAAAAAAAAGATTTGGCTAGTGTTAAGATTAATATAGCTGGTTTCAATGGTAAGTCTGAACGTACTAAAGGGTTGGCATGAATTGAGATCCAAGTAGGTACTATTAAAACTGTTTCAGCATTCTTTATAGTAAAAGGAGAAGCATCTTGTAATGCTATCCTAGGTAGAGAATGGTTGCATCAAACGTATGTTATTCCTTCTTCTTTGCATCAGAAAATAATATTATGGAATGGTGATGAATACAAAGTAGTTTGTGCTGATGTAGAGGTTAACACAAACATGGAGGCTCTTGAATGTTTATCTGATTACTCAAACTCTGATGACCATACCCGATCATCGCCAAACTCGAACAAAGAGTTTTATGGTTGAGAAGAGAATGAAAAGGTATGGGCTAAAAGTGAAGATATCAAACAGGAAGTCCATGATCCTCTAGAACAGGTAAATCTCAGAACTAATGATTGTCCAAGATTCATTTATATAAGTAAGGAATTACTCTGTAAGGACAAGTCATTATTGATTGACATACTTCACAAATACAAGGATTGTTTCGCATGGGAGCATCACGAAATGCCTGGTATAGATCATTTTATTATCTAGCATAGGCTTCTTATTAAACCTAGTTACAATCCTATAGTCCAAAATCAAAGACGTTTATCGCCAAAATTAATTCCTAAAATAAAGGAATAGATTGCCAAACTCTTTGAGGCAGGATTCATACAATCCACCAAATATGTAGAGTGGATAGCTAACATTGTTCCTGTAATTAAGAAGAATGGAAAAATCAGGATATGCATAGATTATAGAGATATTAACAGTGCATCCCCAAAGGATCAATACCCCATGATTGTAGCCGATATGTTGATAGATGCCTCATCAAGACATGGTGTATCAACGCTTGATGGTTTCGCTAGGTATCACCAAATAAGGATCACTGAAGATGATCGCTCAAAGACGGCATTTAGGTACCCGGGCTCTTTTGGACTCTATGAATATATGGCGATGCCATTTGGACTTGAGAATGCAGGGGCAACGTATTAGAGAGCTATGAATCTCATATTTGATGAAATGATCGGCGACTTTATGGAGGTTTACATAGACGGTGTTTTGGTGAAATCCCATGACTTATCAAAGCATTTAGAACATCTCATCCTAGAGTTTGAAAGGATGAGGAAGTTCAATCTAAAGATGAACCCCCTTAAATGTGCCTTCAGGGTTAAAGCAGGTAACTTTTTAGGATTCCTGGTTCATAACGGCATTGAAGTTAATCAAAACAAGGCTAAAGCGGTTCTTGAAGCATTGCCTTCAGCTAATAAAAAGGAATTCCATAAGTTTCTTTCGTAGATTAATTATGTTCGAAGGTTTATCACTAACTTGGCTGGGAAAACAAAAGTGTTTTCTCCTCTTCTTAAACTTAAGCAGGGAGAAGAGTTCAAATGGGAGCCTGAATGTCAAGATGCCTTTGAACAAATCAAGAGGAAAGTGTTGACTCCACCAGTACTAATTCCTCCTAAATAAAATGGAAAGCCCTTGAGATTGTATCTTTCAGCTACCAAGGATTCAATTGCAAGCATGTTAACCCAAGAGAATGAACATGCTCATGAACAAGCAATTTTCTATTTAAGCATAATCCTACATGATACTAAAACTAGATACTCCAATGCTGAAAAGTGGTGCTTGAATTTGTATAATGCTTCCATCAAACTTAATCACTAATTTATGGTTTTCCTGTTAGAGATTATTTCACCAACAGATGTACTCAAATACTTATTGAATTACCCTTTCATTAAAGGAAGGTTGTGTAAATAGTGTATGCATCTACCACAATTCGAACTGACTTATGTGCCTCAAAAAGCCGTTAAAGGATAGGCTTTGGTTGACTTTTTGGCCGACCATCCACTTATAGAGAATGTTATGGTCCAGGAAGAAAAACCATGGACAATGTTCTTTGATGGATCTAGCATAAGATAGTCAGCTGAAGCCGAGATTGTGATTTATTCACCCTCTAGTGTAGTGACTAAAAAGGCGATCACTTTCACAACTCAATGCACAAATAATAGAGCAATGTTTAAAGCCTTAGTGATTGGTTTGAGGACTCTGAAAGATATGGGGGTTACAAAGGTCAAGGTGTTAGCCTAAGTAAACAAGGAATATAAATAAAGGAATATCACCTCTGGCGATGACCTTTTCATCTATCGTTCAAGAGCTAATTAATGCTTTTGAATTCATCCAAGTCTCTCATATCCCAAGAGAAGAAAATAGAGAGGCTGACTTTTTGGCACAACAAGCATCGCTACCCGATTTTGAAGGCTTCGATGAACCAGTGATTCACATGAACACATACAAATTGAAACAATTAGATGAAAAGTGAAGGCAGAAGTACATAAATACAGTATCCTTGCTCAGAAAATAGACTAGAGAGAGGAGATTAAAGAGTACTTAAAAGACCCTTCAAAGGGGAAAGTGCTTGCAAAAGTTAGGCTAGCAGCTACTAAATACATTCTTATGGGAAGTAAGCTATATAGAAAGGATCCTCAAGGCATTTTACTGAGGTACGTTAGCATGAAGAAAATGTTAACCATTTTAGCGGAGGTTCATCATGGAATTTGTGGGTCACATCAAGCAGGAACAAAGATGAGGTAGTTAACCCATCATATGGGTTTTTATTAGCCTTCAGTTAGAAAAGATTGTTGCAGAATGCAAAAGGCTGTAAGCAATGTCAACGCTATAGATCGATAAGTAGGGCACCAGCAATAGAATTGCACCCCATTATCAAGCCCTAGCCTTTCAGAGGTTGGGCGATGGATGCAATTGGGCCTATTAAACCTCCCTAATTTGCTCATCATGAGTATATTCTTATAGCTACAAATTACTTTACAAAGTGGATGGAGGTCTAGGCTTTCAAAAGCTTAAATGCAAGGGCGGTGATCTTGTTCTTGGAAGAGAAAATCTGTACAAGATACGGGATTCCAGAATCTATAACTGTAGACTAGGCAACTATGTTTACAAGACATGTGTTCAATTCCTATCTTAAGGAATTTGAAATCTAAAAGATTCATTCAACCCCTTACTTTGCTTAGGCTAATGGACATGTCGAAGCCACTAATAAAGTAAATTCTAAGGGAATTGCTTAGATGGTGGATGAAAATCCTAAAAATTGGCATGTTCTTTTACACTATGCTACTTGGGCAAATAGAACATCAATGAGAGATGCAATAGGGACTACTCCTTACTAATTAGTGTATGGACATGAACCTGTTGTATCAATAGAGCTAAGCGCTAAGTCCACTAGGGTAGCTAAACAAATGGGTATAAGCCAAGAAGACTACTAGCAATCTATGACTATTGAGTTGATGGATGTTGAGGGTGAGAGACTCCAAGCGCTAGCTAAAATCGAAGCTCCGAAAAAACAAGTAGCAAAATCTTATAACAAAAAGGTGAAACACAAAATCTTTTCGGAAGGAGATTTGGTGAGGAAGATGAAACTTCCTAAGCATAACTATAAAGATCATATCTTTAGTAAATGGTCTTCTAAGTGGGATGGTCCATTTAGAGTTCACAAGGTCATGTCTAGTAATGCCTATTTATTTGTTACAAGAATTAG